ATGAACTCCTCAGAATTCCAAGACAAGTACTCGCGCACTACATTCTGTTTGTAGCGACTTCAATATCTTCTGTAACATGTCTTCCCCAACCCAGTATAACAATGCTGAGGATGAAATTGCATGTGCGCATACCAGCCTTAACAGCACGCCCGTCAAGATCTTGACGGGGACGAAATCAGCGCGGCACCTAGAGACTGTACGTGTGAGCCTCGGTCCTAAGGAAAGATCAATACGATGGGGAAATTCAAATGCTAAATTCGCTGCAAAAGGTCCAAGACCTGCCAGCTAGAATATAATCAGAAGCACCACCGGAGTCACGTCATCTCACTGAAATTAAACATTATTCTCTGTACAGAATGTCATTGTGGATCCATCCACTGGCATTCGGTGGTCTCCCCTGTATTCCAGTGGTTGTCCCATCAAAGGTTGTCTGGAACAATGCCTAAGGCAACAGGTAAGTTACCTTTCAGCTGTACTTTAGATATATATATACATCCTGGACGGGACCTTCTCCCACCCAGGAGGAGAAACAACAACCGTTCAGAACAGACCAATCACAACCAAGTCTTGTGATTGATCACCCTTATGGAAGGCACTACCACGAAGGCACATCATTATGCATGCGTAGCTAACGAGGCCGATACGCACCTAAGGGCAACAGCTGCGAACGGCCCAACAGCTACGCGCGAGCGCGTGCGGCCAACCCGTACCTGCAGCCGCCAGAAAGAGGCGGGTTTGCATGTCGACGGTGCCCGTACGTCAGCCGGCAGCTGCAGAAGATACAATACCACTGCCGAACAACGCACGGGTGGATCAACCGGCGAGGGCGAGGCCGAGCTACAGCAAGGCAGAATATCGCAGCAGGCGACGACGTGCCGTGGCCTACAGGAATGCCGTGCCAGAGGTTCTTTCGCAGCCGGGCTGCGAGCGGCTGGTTTGAGGTTGAGCGCAGGGCTGCCGCCGCCACCAACAGCAGAAGGACCGGAGAGCAGCAGGAAGGAAAGGAACAGAAAGAAAGCCGTAACGGCGATAAGTGGCAGCTGATGCTAGCGACATACGACATACGACGATAAGCTGGCGGCCGAGGAGGAGGAGCGCTGGCGGAAGGCGGACGGGTCAGGCGGGATCGACGCGGACTTGGCTTGGGTCGGGAGATGGGTAGGCCAAACATCTCGAGGGCAAGGATCTGGTGGCGCTGCATGACGCCAGTCTAGGCCCGCTCTCAAAGGACGCACAGGCGAGGCTGCGAGACTCGGCGGCAAAGTGTTTGTTTGTTTTGTATTAACGTGGGGGGTAGCTCCTCAGTAGTGCAGACCACGCCTCCAGAGCCTCTGCATCGCAGGGTAGTGGAGGTTTCAAGAAAATAAGTACAGTCAGTCCGGCTCACGAGCCCATCCCCGTTGTTGCGGCGGTATGACTTTGGGGTCAACCATCTGGTCCTTCAAGAACAGTTATCTATCGGGGGCAGATTGATGAGGATGAAAGTCGCCGCCAGATCCTCCTACCTGTTGAAAGGTTCAATGGACCCGTTGACCTGCCTGTGACCGACCCGTCACCTAGTCCAGAAGACAACCTGGTATGTGCCATTGTGGCCACCTTGGAAGCCAACAACCAGGACCCAGACGGTTCTCTAGAGGGTGTTCAGCTTATTGATGCCATCTTGACAGCCAACCGCTCTTCAGAGGCCCTACTCCTTGAGCGGGAAAAAGCCAAACACAGTCAGCAGGGTTACAGTCTTGTTGATGGCTTGTTGTTGAAAGAGGGACGCCTCATGGTACCTGATGAGGGGAACCTACGCACACGGCTTTGTGATGAGATTCACAGACTACCTTCCCGTGCACACCCTGGTCGGAACAAGATGCGTGCTTTAGTAGCAGAGCGTTATTCCTGGCCAGGTATGGGTGCTTTCATAGACTGGTCTCAGCTGTTGCCCTGCCTGGATTTTGCTTATGCCACACAACCTCATGCAAGTACTGGCTTATCTCCAGCTGAGGTTGAAATGGGGTTTCTTCCAGTCATGACCTTTGACTGGGATAAACGCAGTCCTCTCTCAAGAAAGACGCCTATTACAGAGCGGCTTAGTCGTTCAGATGCTCAAATTTTTGCTGAACGCAGGGCACAGGCCATGGCATGGACCAAAACCAATCTCTTCAAGGCACAAATAGAATACAAGAAGCAGGCTGACAAATCCCGACGACCAATCGACTGGAAGCCAGAAGATATGGTATATGTCCGCAAAGGAGCATGGCGCACTGACCGCCCACATGATGGGTTGGACAACCCCTATATGGGACCATATCGGGTTGTCAAACAGATCAATGAGAACGCCTTTGAGATTGACTTACCCCCTGGGATAAACGCTCATCGGGTCATCAACGCAAGCCGCTTAGTACGGTCACCAAATGACCCTGTCCCAGGTCAGGTGATCCCTCCACCGCCTCCCGTTGACGTGGATGGGGTTCCTGAGTGGGAAGTTAACAAAATTCTGTCCTTCCGCCTAACCCGGGGCAAGCTGGAGTACCAGGCTGAATGGACAGGTCATGATCCTGACCCGATGTGGTACCCAGCAGCTAACTTCAGAGGCTCAGCTGTACGCGTCAAAGAGTTCCATGAGACAAATCCCAAGGCGCCAGGTCCCCCTCAAAGGTTACAGCAATGGATAGAGGCTGCTGCTGATGATCAGGACCTTACTGATCATGAGGAAGACAACCTGCCTGTAAGAGGCTCTGCACAAGGAGTAAGGAGAACTCGGAAGAAATCATTGTCGTAAACCGACTTTAATAAGGGGGGGGGGGTAGTGTGACGGCCTGCACAGACCTTCCCATATGACAAGTGGATATTTCCCAATAGGGGAAGGATCTGACCAGAGGATCCCCTTAAAGGGGCAACCTCCCACTGTACCTATCTCTCTCTCTCTCTCTTCCTTTCCTCTCTAGTCTTGATATTCTCGTCAATAGAGTAATAGCTGCTTGCTGCAGGCCATGTCCCAGCTCCCCAGTATGCTCGCCGTGACAGACCCTCTCGGTGGCTTGCTCCTGCCATGCAAACCCGTTCGATGGAAGCACCAGGGACGCCGGTGGAATCGGCATTACCAAGCTCGAAGAATCTAGCACTTGCCATGCAGGTTGTTGATTTTGCTCGTCGTCCTGAGCGGTGACCTGTAGCGACACAGAGCCGGTACCCTGGGAAACCACGGACTGTGCAGCAGACAATGGCATTGCAGGCGGGGAAAGGTGATAGCAAAGCTCAACGGGCGGCTGTACACCATGTTCAACATCTGATCTCAAGCCGGGAGTCTCGACCTTGCATTGGACAGTGCGCAGACGGACCCGACAACCTTGACTGGCAACCTCCCGATCGAGAGCACTGCTTGGTAACAGACCCGGGCAGTCCTTGATGCCGTATACGTCGAACTCTTTAGATTTCAAGGCAACGATATGATTGGCATGACCCGCCGAAACGTTATCCGCTTTGGTCATCTCATACAGGTTGAAGACCAGGCGATACTGTCCAATATCGCGGATAGCGATGTCCGGAAACGAGAAATACCCGGCTCGATAGGGCCGGGAAAGGTAATAGCAGCTCGATACGAGGCTGCCAATCGGGCAAGGTGAAGGTGTTGATTCGTTGATACGTTCGAGCGAAGCATAGCATATGAAATCCCCATTGTACTCGAATGTGACATCCCTCGCGTCTTCGAATACACTGACAGTGAGAATGGGTATAGGATTAATCGGTCGCCGGTTGATGTACGCTGCTATAATATCAGCGGCTGGGGACCTGTCATTTTTAATCGCGTCTTTACACACCTTTTGATCCGGATCCAGCAGCACGAGCATGACGAGGTTGCTGGAGAAGTGCTACATGGTACGATATACATTTTTGGTGGTCGAAATTTCGATCTGCCAAGACACAAGTCCGTTTAATGTCGGTGTGTAGACTTCCCATGTTGGGCGTAGCTGCAAATAGTATTAATGATCACGATCTATAAGCAATGTGGGCACTGGGAATAACAGTATCAACACTGCTTACCTCGATACATATACCAGTGGGTAATTATATGATTGAAGTTGGTAGGGTAGTACTGGAACTTGGCTATGAAAGTAATTAAAGTTATATGGGAAATTTTCTTGTTCTGACAATCGACGTTTTTCCAAGGTCTATGTCAGGATGAGTGACAACAGGGACGAGACAAGGCAGATGGTAAGGGCGAACCGACTCAAATCAAAGATAAAGAAGTGAAGGAAGAGAGCTGGATACGGGTAGGAGGCTTTGCGTTCTCTATCCTACGACCACGGACCCCCATCTCACGGCTGCCAGGGTGTGTGGAGCCTGGCGAGCTGCAGCTGGTGTGCGCCCTCACTGTCTAATTGTGATCGAGATTCAATTCAACCCAGTCTTGCGTGATCAAAGTGGACAGAGGCTTCTGGAGCCTACACTGACCGGACAATATTAGGCGTACACCCCCCTGTTTCCCACCGAAACTCGCCTTGTTTATTAGGTTATAACTTGTCAAGAAGATGTATTAAAAATAAGAAAAAATTGTTTTATGTAAGTAAATGAATAAGAATATAAACGAAAAGGACGCCCCTCATTAAGCACCCGGGGTTGTTAAGATATCTCGAATAGAATGTAAAACTATACGCGCTCCTTAGAGACTGTGGTGGGACGCACTTTACTTTACTTTCAAAGGGGCATACACCAATATTTTAATATAATATAAATTAAATTAAATTATTAATATAAACGGCGGGTATTTAATAGTGAGACGCATTTGTTTTATCTTTTTATTTTTATTTTACGAAAGTTATAGCTTGGTGAAGTAGATGAGTTTTGGGGGCCAGTGTCTCGCTGTAGTTGGCTGAGTCAGCGTGGAATGGAAGCATAGAGGATCTGGTCAAACTTACCATGCCCTGAACAGCCATCTCCGCGATATCAGTCCGAGAGAACTCGACGAAGGCGAAGACCACAAACCGGGAACCATCTGGATAGGGAAGCCGTTAGGCAGCCATAATCGGCCAGAAGCAGGATCTTCCATTCGCCCATGCCGCCTTCCAGTAAGACTCTTCCTGCGGTGTTGCCGGCCTGCTGGTTTTCATGCTGACGAGCTTGCGCTTCTTTTCAGCAGTCTCGGACTTGTAATTTGAGTCGTCCGCCAAGGTCCTGTTCTTCTAGGGAATCGAACAGCTGTCAGTAGCCTTCATCACGGCGGGTTTGCTGGGGGTGGGGGTCATACTGTAAGTCCTACCTTCGCGTCTGCAAGCCAGACTTGATTCTTGGAGAGCTTGTGGAACGGATCTCTGGTGACTTTTTTGCCTTTGTGGTTCATTTCTTTCTATAATGAAAGCATCCCTGTTGTCGAACGCCTGGGTAATAGAGTTAGGACCGGGCACCTTGAACCGAGGTCAAAGGTCCCTGGAAGAAATCTGCTGGTGATCCACCAGCCGTGCCAGAGGCGGCATGTTGTTTCGAATATAACTGACCTCAATATACGATGTTAAGTTTTCATGGAAGGCAAGGTTCTATGCCGGAGGCTGGAGGCAGCCCGTGATGCCCGGGGGCGGACGACATCAAGTTCTGTCTTCCTGCCCATCCGGCGAAGAAGATCAGTCGGCTAGCAGCCAAGGGGGTGGACAAGCACGTCCAGATGATCAAGGGTGTCAACTCTGCCAGCGCCTGGAGGACGAGTACGCCGAGGCGATGAATCTCCACGGCGCCGTCAAGGTGGAATTTGAGGGGTTTGACCCGGGGTCGGCCTGGAGCTCGAGCGCATCGAGCACATCGAGCGTAACACCTTGGCCGGCCTCACAGCCTAAGGTTCGCGACTTTCCCATATAGATTCCGACCTGTTCCCAGTTGTGGCTTCATGCAACCTAACTTGTCCGAACTGTAGTGCGGCAAGGTCGGCCACATCGCACGCACGCCCGGAGAACGACCTGGCAGCCCGTGACGCCCGGGGAGAGCGCCGCCAATGAAGAGCTCGAGCGCGTGGTCTACGAGCAGTAGTATGTCAGCCATCTCTCCATCTCCATACACGTGACTAACACCGCTTCAGCGAAGGTCACATCGGCTCCCGACGCCACCATCAACTTCAACGAGGCCTGCAAGAAGAAGCATCCGCGTACTGGGCTCTGGCTTGTCCACGGCGATGTCTTCCACGATTGGCTTCGTAGCGCCCGGTCTTTCCTATGGCTGAGAGGCTTTGCCGGGTGCGGCAAATCGGTACTCTTATCCACTGCCATTCAGTACGCCTTTCGACACCGCAGATCGCATCCGCGAACTGGTATTGCTTTCTTTTTCTTCACTTTTAACGACGAGAGCAAGCAGGACGCCTCTGCTTTACTCCGAGCCCTTATTCTCCAGCTGTCGATGCAGCTAGATAACCACAATGACCTATCCCGCCTGCAAGGGAGCTACCGTCATGCGAGTCCGCCTGACGAAGCCCTCCTGGGCTGCCTCCATCAGCTGGTACGAGCGTTTCAAGACGTTTACATACTAGTTGATGCGCTAGACGAAAGCCCGCGGAACAAGCATCGAGAAGTGATGCTCCAGGTCATCAAAGACATGCGTGGGTGGGAAGAACCAGGCCTGCACCTCCTAGTAACAAGCCGGGATGAAGTCGATATACGGGAAGAGCTGGATGCAAAGCCGGAAGAGACCATTGAGATAAAGAATATCGAAGTGGACCGCGATGTAGCCATTTTCGTTGCGCAGAACCTCCAAGACAACAGACGATATCGGAAATGGCAGCGATACTCTGCCCGGATCGAAAAAGCACTGACAGAACGAGCAAATGGAGTGTTAGTGCCCCTGTAATGTCTATATGTGGTGACTAACAGACTCTCAGTTTCCGCTGGGTGGAATGCCAACTGAAAGCGCTGGCAGCTTGCCCAGCAAACCAGCATCTTCTCCATCAACTGTTACAGTCCCTACCACAATCGCTAGATGACACCTATGCCCGGATGCTTAGGAATATCGCACCCGAACTGCGGGAGTATGCTCAGCAAATGTTGAACATATTATGCTGTGCTATAAGACCCCTCACGGACTTGGAGCTGATCGATGCGCTTGCAGTCGAGCTTGGCGACCAGCCTAGGTTCGATATTACACGCAGGTTTGAGGACGTCCATGATCTTGAAGCTATCTGTCCAGGATTCATTGAAGCCAGCATGGATCTCGGAATGCAAACCACAGTCCGTATTGCACACTTCTCTGTACAGGAATATCTTGAATTTGCCGGGCGGTTTGACAAGTATCTCGTCAAGCTCCATAAGGGGCTGACGCACGATCAACTTGCTCAGGATAAGGGAGTGAGATGAGTTTGCCTCGACACTGTTGTCGAAGAAATTCCTGTACAGAGAAGTGTGCAATACGGACTGTGGTTTGCATTCCGAGATCCATGCTGGCTTCAATGAACCCTGGACAGATAGCTTCAACTTGCAAGCCATTCGTGAACGGATGCCCTGTTTGCGGGGCTGGGTTGAGATGTGACCAGGGGGCATGGTGCCCACGCAATGGCCTGGAGCAAACGGGGTGTCTTAGGTGTACCCATCCTACTTGGGCGCGAGGGCAGAGAACGCAGTACCTTCCTGCAGGGAGTGCTATGCACCAGGCGCTGATTGCGTCAAAGTCAGTCCTCGCAGCCCAGATCAGGCTCGTATCGTATTGCTTCTACGATTCACCCTCTGACATGGGTATAGGAATGCAGCTATGTGGAGTTTAGGGCTTTGGTAGCATTGTTTCCCACTAGGGGAAATCCTAGCAGCGCCTGCTTGCAACCTAGGTTGCCGGAATGCCCAGCCCTGCTGGAAGTTCGATTGCGTATGTACCAGGGAGGAAGAATGACAGGGCAGGGGTGAGAGCCGCTGCTGCGAATTGACCGGCTCGCTTCTTGTCAGGGGCTGGGAACTGATGGAGTCGACTGCTGCTGCTGCTTGTGGTGTGGCGATTCAAGGGGTCGCCTGCGTTGTCACGCCAGGCTCAGCCCACCCATAACCAACGTTGACGACTGCCGAATAACCTGAACCCCTGTTTCTGATAATGATTGGTTATCACTTCGTGATTCTCCAGCCTGATTTGGCAATCAGGCAACGCTGTCAGTCCACCAAGTTCGGGCTAACCCGCAGCAAAAGGTGCTCTCACACGGCACAATTTTGCAGTGCTTGGAATTGTAGATCGACAGTCGCGTCGCGTTGCTTCTCGGCTCACCTCTTGTCTGTCTATCATTTTTTTTACAAACAAGACATATGAGATAAACCGAGGCTGGCCCATCGTAGCTAAATAGCTATGACGTAGCCAAGGAAGGCGGTCTTTTATCTACATGAAGGGAACTATATACAAAAAGCTTAAAAGGCGTGAAAGGGTGTGAACCTTAGAAGATCTTTCAAGACAGAGGCTCAAAGACCTTGACCATGCATATGCTTAAAAAGTAATTGGATTTATATTCGTAGCAGGCCTTATTCTATACACGCGAATTGCAGCAACCTGGAATACATTTCAAACCACTCTCGTTGAACCGTCTGTGTTTTTATGGCTATGCGCAGATAACTTATATCAGTTCTGTGGCACGTACCTATATTATGTGGGCGTGTACGGCACCCGTGCACGCCATATCTTAAACCAGCACAAGTCTAGAATACAAACAGGAGCCTCCATCGTAACAGCGCCCATTGCATCTTTGCCTGCGTTTCCTACAGCTGCAATTCTTTCCACACTGGCTCTTGCAGCGGCAGCCGTGCTCAAACCACTATAGCAAGTGTTAGCCAGCAATGAAATCTCCCTGTAGGATGAGGCGAACCTGAATGATGGATAAGAACGTTGACAAATGTCCTTCGGGGCCCCAGGTCCAGGTCGGATTCTTCTTAGCGCATAGAGTACCGATAGTCTTGACTTTGTGTAAGAATTCCTGCGATGTATCCTAACGCATCAAAACTAGAAGAGCGTTAAACAAGCGTTGGATATTCCCCTGCGACGTCCCTGGATGCAAGAGCAAGGGCTTTCGGCTAGAGAAAAATTGGGCAAGGCATATACGGAAGTTCCATCGATCGAGAGGGTGTTCTGGCCTGTTGGTTCCGCCGATGAGAACGAAGATGTGGAGTCGGACATGAGCCGCCTGGTTGCGCAGATGAGACGACTTTTAGAATAGCTGTTCGACCGTGGCGATTGACGTACAGGGCTCTAGCGAAGCTGGCGAGGGAAGCAAGGCGCCGGAGCTTGGTTATGTTACTGCGTCTTCTGCCGCACAGGTTCTATTGACCTGATTGACCATGATCCCCGAGTCAAGGGCACTTAAACACTTGACTTCATTGTTTTCTACCGCATTCGCCTTGGATTGTAGTGGCCGTGCCTGGGTCCAGATACAGTCCATTCTCTGGATATCCTCACCCCACCAGGAAGTCAGATCTCCAGCACAGTCGTAGAGGCGATCCACCAGTGTGAATATGTTGGAAATTGCGTTTCCCCATCTCGCATACAGCCATACCAGCCTGTGATCGCTTGTGGTATGTACATGAATATATACATGTAGTTATGCTACGTTCGATGAGAAGCTACATCATCACACAGACATTTTTTGAAAATCTTTACCTGCTCAACCAATGGGGACACGACAACGCTATTGAATTTGATCCCAACAAAACCGAGATCATGCATTTCTCACAGAAAAAGAACTCAGACAATCCTCCGGTCCGCCACGGGACAATGAACAGAACAGCAAAGAACTCCATGCGATGGCTGGGTGTCTTCCTGGATAGAAAACTGAACTTCAAAGATCACGTTTCCTACTGGGCCAAGAAAGCTAGTAGGGTAGCAAACCACATTCGAGGACTATGCAACACAGTCAAAGGACTTCCAGTAAAGTCAACCAAGAAGGCTGTGAAAACTTGTGTTATTCCTATTCTTACACACGGCCTGGAGGCCTGGTACCCAGGAATAGAAAAAATTGGGAGCTTAGGTGGGACATCAGCATGTCGCATTAAAAGGCTTCTTGGAACGATAGATGCTGTACTACGAACGGCAATCAGAGCTATCCTGCCGGTCTGGAAAACACACCCTGGACATATCCTACACTTTGAATCACAGATTCCTCCAGCAGGAATTCTTGCAGAGTCAATAAGAAGACGTCACGGCTTCCGACTCGGACGAGTAGACCAGAGACACCCTCTTGTTGGCAGGCTCCAAATACAAGCTCGCAAAGAACCAACAAGGCTACAAAGGAGCTTCCAACTAGTCCCTGACTTCCAGAGACCAATACTCACCAAGCCATTATGGAAGAAGCCCCCAGTCCGTAAAGACAAGGACAAAGAAACAAAGCTCTTCAAGCAATGGTTACAGGAAAGAAATGCGAACACTGACCTTGTCATCTACTCAGATGGATCATAATTGGATGACCAAGGCACAACCCGCACTGGATGGGGTTATACCATCAGGAAAGGCGGCACTGTACAAGAAGTATACCGGGGAAGGGGCAGACTTCTACAAGCAGAAGTAGTAGATGCTGAAGTCCATGGTGCTCTCCAAGGTCTTGCAGCAGCCAGGGCAACTGGACACGGAAAACAGCTATATGTCTGCCTGGACAACACGTCAGTGGTAGATGGGCTCAATGGGACTCCACCCGAGACATCACAAAACATTTTTCTACGATTTCAAGAACTTGCCACAGCACACACTCCTGGAGTGACCGTCAAGTGGATTCCTGGACACAGAGATATTGATGGTAACGAAGCTGCCGATATATTAGCAAAAGAGGGTGCTATGCTAGAAACAGACACGACAAACCTTCCTACAATCTCTTGGGTCAAGAGAGATCTCAAGAGAAAGGGCAAGGAAGAGTTCAACCAATGGTGAAAAGACCAATCAGAACCTAGGTATCAAGAAGTATACTCACATGCAGTAACTGAAAGAGGCCTTATATCCTTTAAGAGGAGCACTCTACACAGACTTCTAGCGGCCAGATCTGGACATGGCGACTTTGCCAGATACCACGAACGCTTTGGGCATACAGACTCGAACAACCACTGCAGCTGTGGTGAAAAGAAAACACCACAACATATTTTCTTTTGTAAGAGGCTAGGAAAATATCGGTTGTTGCCTAGGTACCCGCCTAGGACAGCCTGTTTACAATACTTGGGGGAGAGGAGCACAGAATGGGCAAAATTCGTAGAGAAGAGCAAGTTCTTTTCAACAATCTGTCTCTGATAGATAGCTGTTCTCGAAGGACCAGATGGATGACCCCAAGGTCATACCGCCGCAACAACGGGGATGGGCCCGTGAGCGGGGCTGACTGTACTTATTATCTTGAGACCTCCACAACCCTGCGATGCAGAGGCTCTGGGAGGCGTGGGTTGCACTACTAAGGAGCTACCCCCCACGTTAAATACGAAACAAACAAATTTGAATCTTACTAGACAAAAGCTTCTTGCAAACATTTTCTTGTCATCCCCAGCCCTCGAAATCCAACGGTAAAAAGCGGCCAAGGTGGCGTTGCGTTAGATAACACAATGTTTCACTTTGTCATCTTTAATGACAAAACTGTTATATCATGATTTAAATACTGGCACCACTTACCTCTTTATAAATTACCACGTTGTTCCTCTCATTTACTGTCCGCATTATGGCACGCACAAAACAGACAGCACGAAAATCCACCGGCGGCAAAGCTCCACGCAAGCAACTAGCATCCAAGAGCACAGGGAGCAAGCCGAAAACGGTTCATACTAAGAAATTACGTCATTATAAGCCTGGTACCGTGGCCCTGCGCGAAATTCGACATTATCAGAGATCGACCGATCTACTAATCCGCAAGCTACCGTTTCAGCGACTAGTAAGTTGCAAAAAGCTTTTATTTTCATTTTTTAAGTGACGACTGTACTGACTGAACTACATGTTCGTGAGATTGCCCATGACTATAAGAACGACATACGATTCCAATCGTCAGCGCTCGGTGCTCTCCAAGAAGCTCTAGAGTCACATCTTGTGTCTCTGTTCGAAGATACCAATCTCTGTGCTATCCACGCAAAGCGCGTCACAATCCAGCAGGTATGTGTGCGCACTGAGTCATTAGGCTTTATAGTTGGATTAATCACAGCTTTAGAGAGATTTGCGGCTCGCCCAACGGCTCCGTGGCGAAGGGAACAACAGAATTGGAAATACAGCTCAGCCAGGACGAGAGCGCCGCAGCCACCCAGCCGTGACGAGCCCAGGGCCAAGGCCATGAAGCTAAGCCCTCGTACCGGACGTACCGTACCATACGAACGGCTCACACATATAGTCTTCGGCGTGCTTGGAGGTCCGACCTTGTTTGTTTGTTTGTTTTGTATTT